TCTTTTGTCTATCCTCTTTCCCATTCTTGCAAGTATAAAATAGGATAATGATGTTGAAGTATATTAATATGTATTAGCTGTATACATGCAATGAACTGAGATGTACAGGAAAAACAGAAGCATGAGCTCATGATTAGATGCATGCCATATACATGCAAAGCTTTATGATTGCCAATAGTATTTCTAACTAATTTTTAACTTTTTATGTAATGCATATACATATGGTTTCTAAGCATATCCAAAAATATCATATTTTTATTCATGAAATTTATCTGCATGCAAGTATAAAGTATTAAGTTTCTTACCAAAAAAGCTTCAAAATCATCTGCTGGATTCTGAATTTGGAGACAAGAGAAATATAAAACCTTGGTAGAAAGTTGGGGAATTTGTTTTCTGATAAATTTTATGCTTTTTATTTTTCACTTATCCATCCCTCTGCTATTTTTCAGTTGTGTTTACCTGCTGTATTTGCCACACAGACTGCAACTGCCTGGGGCAGGGACTGTTTCCTTTGTTATATGTCTGTATACTACATAGTACAATATATCCTCGATTAAGGGCATAGGCAGTAGTAGTGTGGTGTACATAAATAATAATAATTTTACAATGCATGGCTTCTTATGACTGAATTAAAGATAGAATGGGATGGTGAAATAAGTATATTGTAAATTGAAGTCAATAATGACAGCAGACAACCTTGTAGTCCCTGAGTACATCATGCAAGTGACATGCTAAAGGTTAACATTAAAACTTTATTTTGGTTCAGAAGAGCCAATAATTGGCAATTACCTATACTCACTTTCTTCACATAACTAGGATGAGCCCCCATACCTGGCAATGAGGACCCAGCTGGATTTGATGGCCCCAGCTGAAAGAACATGGAAACATCAATGCAAAACAGAGGACTAAGGAAAATCTCCATCCTTTACAGGATGCGGGGGGAAACCTTGTTACAAAAGATGAGGAAAAGGTGAAGGTGCATAATGCCTTCTTTGCCTCAGTCTTTAGCAGCAATATGGGTTGTTCTTTGGATACCCAGTACCCTGAGCTGGCGGAGGAGGATGGGGAGCAGAATGTGGCCCTCACTATCGACGAAGAAATGGTTGGCAACCTGCTACAGCACTTGGATGTGCACAAGTCGATGGGGCCAGATGGGATCCACCAGAGGGTACTGAGAGAACTGGCAGAGGAGCTGGCCAAGCCGCTTACCATCATTTATCAGCAGTCCTGGCTATCGGGGGAGGTTCCAGTCAACTGGCGGCTAGCAAATGTGATGCCCATCTACAAGAAGGGCCGGAGGGCAGACCCGGGGAACTACAGGACTTTCAGTTTGACCTCAGTGCCAGGGAAGCTCATGAAGCAGATTATCTTGAGAGTCATCACGCGGCACTTGCAGGGCAAGCAGGCTATCAGGCCCTGTCAGCATGGGTTTATGAAAGGCAGGTCCTGCTTGACAAACCTGATCTTCTTCTATGACAAAGTGATGCGCTTGGTGGAAGAGGGAAAGGCTGTGGATGTGGTCTACCTTGACTTCAGCAAGGTTTTTGACACTGGTTCCCACAGCATTCTCCTCAAGAAACTGTTTGCTTGTGGCTTGGACTGGTGTACACTTTGTTGGGTTAAAAACTGGCTGGATAGCCAGGCCCAAGGAGTCGTGGTGAATGGAGTCATATCCAGTTGGAGGCCAGTCACTAGTGGCATTCCCCAGGGCTCGGTGCTGGGGCCAGTCCTCTTTAATATCTTTATTGATTATCTGGATGAGGGAATCGAGTGCACCCTCAGTAAGTTCACAGATGACACGAAGTTAGGTGTGTGTGTTTGTCTGCTCAAGGGTAGGAAGGCTCTTCAGGAGGATCTGGATAGGCTGCACCGATGGGCTGAGGCCAACTGTATGAAGTTCAAGGCCAAGTGCTGGGTCCAGCACTTGGGGCACCATGACCCCAAGCAGAGCTACAGGCTGGGAGATGAGTGGTTGGAGAGCTGCCTGGTGGAGAGGGACCTGGGAGTATTGGTTGTTAGATGGCTGAATATGAGTCAGCAGTATGCTCAGGTGGCCAAGAAGGCCAACGGCATCCTGGCTTACATAAGAAACAGTGTGGCCAGCAGGGCTAGGGAAGTGATTGTCCCCCTGTACTCGGCTCTGGTGAGGCCGTACTTTGAGTACTGTGTTCAGTTTTGGGCCCCTTGCTACAAGAAGGACATTGAGATGCTTGAGCAAGTCCAGAGAAGGGTGACGAAGCTGGTGAGGGGTCTGGAGAACAAGTCTTACAAGGAGCGGCTGAGGGAGCTGGGCTTGTTCAGCCTGGAGAAGAGGAGGCTCAGGGGTGACCTTATCGCTCTCTGTAGGGTACCGTTAAAGAGGCTGTAGTGAGGTGGGGGTTGTTCTGTTCTCCCACGTGCCTGGTGACAGGATGAGGGGTAACAGGCTAAAGTTGTGCCAGGGGATTTTTAGGTTAGATGTTAGGAAGAACTTCTTTACCGAAAGGGTTGTTAGGCATTGGAATGGGCTGCCCAGGGAAGTGGTGGAGTCACCATCCCTGGTAGTCTTTAAAAGACGTTTAGATGTAGAGCTTAGGGATATGATTTAGTGGAGGACTGTTAGTGTTAGGTCAGAGGTTGAACTTGATGATCTTGAGGTCTCTTCCAACCTAGAAATTCTGTGATTCTGTGATATTTTATTTGAAATCTAATTTTATTATAAGACAGCCAGAGCATCTCTTCTATTCAGTCCTTACTTATGACTGTTATTTTTAAACCTTTCTTTTGAATGTGTTGTTTATGTTAAGCACTGGACTGAGAGGATTGCTAGGGAAGATGATCAAATATCCATGGAGCTTCATGACCAGAACGGCTTCTCTGCTTAGTGCCACTGCCTTGGAGAATGGCAGGGCTAAGCAGTTTTCATAAACTATTAATCCTTTTGCTCTCCATGAGGATAAAAAAGGACTGTTAATTAATACAAGCAGTGCAAGCAATGTATGAAATAGACACCTGTAGACTTGGAAAATATTTGGAACAACATACTCATAGGAAGATGTATTCATCAAAAAAAAGTAAAGCTGTAGGGTGTTTGTGATCTTGTCCAACTACTGTTTGTTTTTTTAAACTGTCTTATTCTCTTAAGTTTATGTCAAAATAATATGGAACAATTTAGTAGATGGCAGTTCAAAAAGAAGGTTAGTGGGCAACAGCTGAAGTGTGTAGCTGGGCTCCACACCATTTTTTGATGGCCAGTTTACTCAGCATCTGGCAGCTGAGAGAAGACAGAGTTAAGTGTGAAAATTGTCTGGATTCAGTCATAGCAGAGTTTCTGTGACTACTGTTAGCAAGTGTCAAAAAGCTAGATTTAACTGTCACAGGGACTGAAGCAGATTCTTGAGCACTTAGGATTCAGCAGAGATGGGAGATTTAAAGGACCATACTGGACGTTGAACAACTTCTGAAAGTAGATTTTAGGGCCTAATGAGGTCCCTGTGGTCTGTGTGATGAAGATGACTGGCTGTGATAGACCCCTCTAGATAAAACTGCTTCCTCAGAGATTATTTTATGGAGGTGCTTTTTTACTGATCTGCTCTGTAGGTCACAGTGGCATCAGTAACTGGGACGAACTTTCCACTTGAGAGGAATTGTTGAAATGGTTCTGTTGATCATAAAATTAAGAAAAAAAATACCAACAATGCCAGGCAGTGGGAAGGGAAGGGAAGGGAAGGGAAGGGAAGGGAAGGGAAGGGAAGGGAAGGGAAGGGAAGGGAAGGGAAGGGAAGGGAAGGGAAGGGAAAAAGGAAGGGAAAAGTGAAAGGAAAAGGGAAGAGAAAAGCAAGTTTTTAAACTTGCATTAAATTTTAGTGCAGAAATCTAGTAGGTCTCCCATAACCATCTGGGACCACCTTGAATAATATGTATGATTTACCCCTTTTACCCTACCTCAGTTTTGAATTGGCTCAGCATAGACTTAGTAATTTGTGTGGCGGCTATCACATGCGGCTATCAGGGCTTAGAAAGTAAAAGCAAGACAGCAAGGGAAGTGGGAAGGCTTGAAAATAAACAATTTAGGATAAATTGCATTTTCTGGACTGCATTCTCATTTTTGTGGTTTGAAGTTTTGCAAGCCTCATAAACTAGTTTATGAGTTCATAAGGTTCACAAAGCCAGAATATGCTAGAAAGTGTATATATATATATATGTGTGTGTGTGTGTGTGTGTGTGTGTGTGTATAATTTTTTCCCCAAAAATATAAGCCTACTTGTTTCTTGGAAAGATGATTCAGCTAATACAAAATATTTCTAGGTAAAAAGAAACTTCTGTAAATGTTGTATATTCAATTGGCGTGTGTGCCCATGTGTGTATATATACATGTATGTGTGTAAATATCTATGTGTGTGTGTGCATGTATTATCCATTTAAATTGGATTTTTCTCTTTCCTTCATCTTTTCTATTCACTGTATCTCAGTATTGGTTCAGTTACTGAACCATTTTTACATCTTAGGTAAAATTTTCAAAAGTGTTATTTTATGTAAGAAAGGAAATGACATTCAGGATCTGAAGGCAATTAGGTACTTTTGAAAGCAGGGTCAAAGTTTCCTTCTCACTTGGATACATAAAAATTTTACTTTCTGTGTTTATAACAATTTATTATTAGTATCAGAGTAACATAGAGGAGACTCGGTTATGGGAACGAAACTCCATTGTACTGGGTTTTTGAATAAATACATGTGTATTCTAAATAGACAGCCCCTGACTCAGAGAATTTAGGATTTTTTTTTTCTATCTTTCTGTTTTCTTTTTATTAGTTGCCTTTTAGCACAATGTAAATAATGTTAAAATTTAAATCTACAACGTCTGAGTGGTTTTGAAGGAGGAAAACCTTAATTCACTCATCCATGGTCAGTAATAAGAGGGAAGATCAGTTGCAAAATTGAAACCTAAAAATAATAAGAATAAAAAAATCTGAATAAACAAACAGTTGAATGAATAAATTAGGAAAAGCACTTTTTTTTTATTAAATTTAGTTTTTATTTGGGATTGTGTAATTTCCTGGTGATGACTGTGATCATATGTAAAAGGAAAGTGATTCATCAATCTGGAGAAAAGTATGGCTGAACCCCTCAGATTCCAAGTCAGTGGAGCTATCTCCCTTGTCTTGCTTTGCTTTTAGTGGTCATTATCCAGGGAAATATCAAGACTTTTTGCTGTGGGTTCAGAAGGGAGATAGTATTATCATGTGAACACTCCTGGTAGTGAATGGTAAAATTCATATCTCCAAATCAAGTTCTTCAGGTGTTTCCAAATCACATAGTCCCTTTAATCTTCTGGATGGTGTTCAATTAGAAGAAAGCTACTTAATTATAAAGAAATAATAAGAGTTAAAATAACAACAACAAAAGGGTTTTTAGGCACCTATTCTGCGCCAGTATAAAACTGCAAAGAACACACAATCTTGTTCCGTTCTGTCACTGCTTAAATTGTCTCTTATTTTGGGTGGTATACACATCTCTATTGATTTTTTTTTAACAATTTTTTTTTCATTACTTTGTACTGCTGTGACCCAGAGAGACATTTATTAATCGTTTAAAATTCTAGTTTATTGGATAAAATAATATATTTTCAGGTATTGCAAAGTAACAGAGACTGATTTATAGGAGTTGGTCTAAGTTAATTTGTAAGTATTGGCTTTACTTAGTCTCTGAAGCACTTACAGGACTCTGGCTGCTTAAATAACTGTGGTCATTATGCTTTGCTTACATAGACATGTTCTTTAGTCAGCAGGGCATAAAGACTTTTTCCCCAGTTTTCTCTTTGCCTGGCCTACCTAAAAGCCAGCAAAATTCTAGTCCATTGTGACAAAATGTTTCTTGGAAACAGCAAGAAATGGATAATATTTCCTTCCCTATTCTTTGATTAGTGCAAAAATATCACAGATGTCAGAAAATCTGGGCTGAATTTGAGGAGATATGCATCTAAGCTCTGTTACTGCATCTGAACTGACTAGTACGTGTACACTGTGTTGGGCTGAGGTTCTCATTCTTTCCCATCAGGAGAGCACCAGGATTCCTCCTCTCTCCATATTTCTGGAATTCCTCATCAGAGAAATCACACAGCATGGAGGCTGATATTTCCCCATAACATCTCAAAAAGTGAAGAAGTGAAGTTTTCCCCTTCCACCCCCCAGAGATCTAAGTACTAGATGCATTCCTCCATATCCTTAAAATGATAAAGCATCAAGAGGATTGTTCAGAACCTAATTTCATTGTTTTACATATATGAGATCTTAATTCATTCTTTCACTTTAATATCTGTGGACAAAAAATAAGTTTTTTTTTTTTTTTAAATTGTATTTGCAAGTCTCCCAGACTGATTCAAACATCTGTACAGATATTAAACAATTGAATAACTTGGGCAAGAAGAGCCCTAACTAGTTTTGCATTTTTTGTTTGTTTTTATTATTTTGATGGGAGTTGTTTTTAACCTGGAGCTGTCTACGAACTCATTGTCTATGAACTGGGTTAGGCAGTTACAACCTAAAATGAGTAGTGCAATGTAATTTGTAAGGACAAAAGAATGGACATATATTCCTAAATGGAGTACATTTCCTTCTGTGTTCTTTCCTCTTCCCCTTTTCTGTCATCTCCTATCTTTTTATCTCCCAGAATATTGATTATTGCAATAATGTAAAGATTTGTACCATATATAGATTTTCAGCTGCTAAGTGCTGAAACTTAATCACTTACTATCTAATTTTCAAACGACATCCACCTTCTGAAGCCCTGGGGGTCTTTTGTTGTGCGACTCTGAGAAAGAAGTGATGCACAGAGTGGCCCATACACACAGAAGCCTCCTGATCAATAAAAAACATTAGTATTAATGATTAATAAAAGTGTCCTGAAAATCAATACACAACAGGGATTTAAAATGTTGGTGATTTCACCAGTGTTTCAAGATCAGCTTTACAGTCATCTACCAATGTCAACTCCACCTTACCATTAAAGTAATTTCATTTGGCAGGAATCAGTTAAGTGTTTTAAGTTTTTGAAATTATAAGAGCTTTTTTGCTGAAAATGCACTGCATCTGCAATCAAATGTTCCACCTACCTGGTCATATTACACACTCATACAAAAAGGGCAAGATTATTTCATATGAATGATGTTTCCTTGTGGAAGATAGAGGTGGAGCATTAGTGAACCATATATAGCTACTTAATCTATAGCCCTCATCTTGGAAATACTTACAGCGATTACAGTGCTAACTAAAATATATCTACTTATATTCATGCAATGATGGTCCTCATACCCAATTACACTGTAGCAATGTCCTCTTCCTACAACAATAGACAGGCTAAAAGAACTATAAAAAGCAGTTGGTATAGGTTCCTGACACAGTCCAGCTGAGAGGAAGAACTGGTTCATCAGAGGTATTCCACTGGAATTTTCTAAAAGCCTACTTTTTACTTTCACCCCAGAAAGCTGATATCTTAGAACAGTAAGTTTTAAAAAAGATGTATTAAAAAGACATTTCAAATAGCTTTTGAAAAAAAATTAGAAAGTCTCATGTTTAATTTTATGTTCTGTTTTGAAATTTTAAATGGAATTTTTGAATTTGATTTTTCTTTCTTTCTTTTCTGTTTAATTCAGACTAAAGTTAAAAGCAGCAAAACCAAAACAAAGCCTTCTGGGGGAGACAGAGGGATTTTTGGTTTGCAAATGAAGAAGAAAAAAAGAGAAATCGAGATTTTCCTGTGTACTTGAAAGGTTCCTTTGTCAGAAAATCTATTTCTTCTCCTGATCCACTTCTCTTTGTAGAAGAATTATTTGCCTGACCTTTGCAGCCAGTTTCTGACCTTTCTGCCTAATTTAAATACATGTGTGAATATGTATATTCACTGCTCAAAACTAGAAGACTGGTACATTTTTCTCATCTTTGTGCTAGATGAATAGATTGCATGATAAGGGTTTTCCTCACACTAAACTGTGAATATGTATATACATACACAGCACTCCAGCTAAGTCCATTGTTTCTAAAAATGTTTAAACAAGAAATAAAACCTTAAAAATATTTATGAATTAGAAAATTGACATAAGTATCTGGGAGATCTCCCCCATCAACTCATGTACATTTTATTGGTCAAGCTCAGTCAGCTAAGAACATTTCCAAAATATAGATATTCACACTTAAGTGATTTGACTTATTTTATTATTATTATTATTCCCCCCTATGGTTTTTGTATCCTTTCCATAAGCATCTGGTACTTGCACAAGTCATAAGTAAGAATGAATAACAAAAACCTGATGAGCTTCTTGAAAATGTTTATTCTATTTTAGTAAAACAAGTGAATGTTGCGTCTTGAATTTTGCCTAGTTAATCCTGATGTTTCCTACATTTTCCAACAATAATTCATCATGACTGGTCAGAATTGAATCTAACAGGAGCAAAATATACCAGTTAGGTCTCACTTAATCTCATACTAATCTCATGGGGGCTTTTTTCAGCATGACTATTACCTGTTACTTTGTTGTTGTTCTCAGCTCACTATTTGTATTTACTTAAAACAAACAAACAAACAAACAAACAAGCAAAAACCAACCAACCAACCAAACAAACAAAAAAACATTTTACAAAATCGGGAACATAAAAGTTAACCTTCATGTTTTAAAGTGTTATTGTTACAGAGGTGGAAATTTTCCAAAGACAAGTAACAATGAAGATCTGAAATATTGTAGTTGTGTTTTTACATAAACTGGCTTATTCTGCCTATAAAAAGAGCTAGGGGGTTATGACCACCCTGTTCACCAATGGTAAAACTCACACTCACCTTGCTGAGAGCTGAGACAGTTCAACACTGAGCTTCTCTGACGATACCAGTTTAGTTTCTAGATGACTTTCCAGAGAGCATTTTATAAAAGAGAGAAGAATGAAAATTTGAAATTCAAGAGAGAGATTGAAAACTAATATCACAGGGAAAGAATGATATAACAGATGAAAGACTATAAACTTTTACTGTTTCTATTTATTATTCCTATTTACTATTCCTAATTCCTATATTATTATTATTATTGTTATTGTTTTTATTATTTTCTGAATCTGAATAAATTTAACTGGTTTAAGGATTAAACAGGGTTATCCAAACACTACCCTAGATATTAAGAAAAAAAAAAAAAAGGCAAGGAAGATGAAAGATGTTAAACAAATTAATGGAAGAGATGGGAGAAGATAGGCCTACCCCAACTCTCATATATGTGCATCTTAAATCATTGTCTTTTTTCTTCTTTTTTTTTTTTTGAAAAAAAAATCACAGAATTTGAAAAACAGATGTAGGTTAATCTGTGAAGTTTAGTTAAGTAAAGGCATAAGAAAGGCAATAATTATTTTGAGTTGTTTTCTTTTTTTTTTTTTTTTCCCACATATTTTTTTTTTTTTTCTCCACAAGGCTTACTTGTTTCTGCTGGCTGATCACACTAGATCTAAATTAGTCATCACTTCTTGCTTCTAAAATTTTCCTCTTTCCAGAAATGTGAAAAACTGTTCAATGAAGGAAAAAAATCTTGTTGTTGCAGGTGGGTGTGTTTCAAATAAAAGTATATAAAATTAAGTTCTCAATAAAACCAGATTTTCCATTTATTTCCTAATATATATATGTATTCTCTTTCACACAAAAGACAGCAAAAATCAAAACAAGCAAACTATCTGCTGCCATTTGATCCTTTGTGTCAAAGCTGTGTCAAAGATATATTTCCCTAATTTTGGCTTGACTACATAATTCATTTTCATTCATTGTCCTGCTCAAAGACATCTTTCCAACATGAAGCAGATGAGACAGGACTCTTCATAACACCAGGGGATTCAGATTCATGTTCCCCACATTCCCACACTCTTCAATAATCTGCATTTGTGTGTCATGAGGTGGAGAGAGCTTTGAGAGACAAACATTGTTACTATGTTCTTCTAAAATGTGGAGCTGTTACCTTCCACTACAGGACTGCCATACAGGTCTCATCATGCTTGCTCTCTACTGAGGGGCCATACTGGAGGGACAGTTGTGGGGTCAGAGGGATAAAAAAGTCTGTTTCACCTTCAGTGTGGTGACTGGGGTGCCACTAGGCAGCCCTGAATGTCACTGAAGGTCATTGAAAATATGGGGAGGTGGTTGGATATAACATTAGATTTTCCCCTAAACTGGATATACTGGTAATTATGGCACTAGGTTAATTAATAAGCTATTTTTTAATGCACCGTTTTCCCTGTTCAGCCTCACATTGAGATTTCAATTACTCCAGAGCCCGTGTGGAACTCTTCAGAACGGGACTTCTTGCCCTTTATTTTCTGGATTCAACTAATTGATATAGTATGTCATGAGAATAAACAGTATTTCAAGTAAATTAAAGTGTAGGTTTGAATTTGCTAGGCAAAAACAACAAAACAAAACAAAACAAAACAAAAATTGCTTTGTTTGAATTTGTTCTTTCCTCATTTTTCTCATTACATATCTCTCCCACTGAAAATTGTTGACAATAATATTTTTCCTAAGTCATATTTCTCTATACATTTTCAAAGAGCTATTCCACTCACTTTTGTAAAATTAGAAAATTACCATAGAAACTGTTCCATGCTTTAAAAAAAATGTCATTACACTAAGGAGAATGTAAAAATAATGCCTGTCTTCCCAAAGAAGAAAACACACAGCTATATTCCATCATTTACTTAGTTAATTTTGCTTTCCATTAAAAATAAATGTTCTTACTTGCAGTCCTTCTTGGTAGCCTCACTTAGTTTACATAATAGGAAACAGCAGCTTCTGACTGTAAACTGGGGATCTTAAATAATAACACTAGGCTTAGATATGATTTTTTTTTTCATTTTGTTTTGTTTTTCCTGCTGAAAAATGGATGACTGTACCATCATATTACTTTCAGCAAAAAGTTTCTCATTCTCAAAATGTGTCACTTTTGAAAAAGACACTGTTAAACTGGAGAGCAAATAAACACCTACCTGTGGGAAATTTGGGATATTTTTAATCTTCAGTTTCTGTTTCATTCAATAAAATCATAGAATTGTAGAATAGTTTGGGTTGGAAGGGACCTTAAGGATCACCTAGTTCCAACCCTCCTGCCATAGGCAGGGACACCTTCCACAAGACCAGGTTGCTCAAAGCCCCACCCAACCTGGCCTTGAACACCTCTAGGGATGGGGCATCCACAGTTTCTCTGGGCAGCCTGTGACCAGAGGTGGTGACCCTCTGAGTAAAAAATTCCTTACTTATATCTAATCTAAATCTAACTTTTTTTTTTTTTTTTTTTTTTTTTTTTTTTTTGTTCAAAACTATTATTACTCCTCCTACCTACACTGACAAAGAGTCCCTCCCCAGCTTTCCTGTAGGTCCCCTTCACTTACTAGAAGGCCGCTATGAGGTCTCCCTGGAACCTTCTATTTTCCAGGATGTACAACCCCAACTCTCTCAGGCTGTCTTCATAAGAAAGGTGTTCCAGCCCTCTGAGAGTCTTCATAGCCCTCCTCTGGCCTCATTATAATAGGTCCATGTCCTTTTTGTGCTGGGAGCTCCAGAGCTGAATGCAGTGCTCCAGGTGGGGTCTGATGAGAGCAGAGTAAAAAGGGGAGTATCCTTGCTCTGCTGGCCAAGCTTCTTTTGAGGCAGTCCATGATATGGTTGGCTTTCTGGGATGCAAGTGTACATTGCCAGCTCATGTTGAGCTTTGAATAGAAGCTGATATAGTTGATATATACCTAGCATCTTAGAACTGCTCTTCTTCACTGGTCATAACCAGTCCCTTTAAATTTGACACCCTTATTTTTTTGTGTCCACCTCAAGGGTTCAGAAACACACGTACTCCAGTCTGTGCACTCAGGACATGTAGGTATGTTATTCTGATTGCACACAGTTGGAAGCCATGGTGCACCTGATTTGAAAATACAGATTTTAAAGTCAGAATGAGCATTTAACATATTAAAACTTCATGACCTTTTCTGCACTGGTGGCGCTACAATTATTTTTGGAGAAACAGCATGAGATATCATAAACACAGGTTTATGATTTCTCTCAGCTAAAGAAAAAAATGATTTGCGAAGGAGAAAGCTATTCAAACACTAGCATCTTTAATAATAGCAATGGGAATAAAGAATGTTGCTATCTAAGGAAATTGCTTTTTATATGTTTTTTTTTTTTTTTCCTTAATGCACTCAGTGTGAAAGCTTTCTTTAAAAGCAATTGAAGGGATTTCTTCAGTATGTTATTTTTTCTTTTTTAAGGAATTCTTCTTGGTTTTCCTCTTCATGGGAATTTTAGACAAAAATGGAAGATAACTGTGGTTATATCCAACCCCCATTATCATGATATGTTTGGGATAATGTAAAACTGACATTGTTTACTACATTTGAGCACAATAATATACTCTGAGAATCAAATCTAAAGTCTAAATCCCAGACTTTCTAATCAGACAGGTTTTTGAGCTGTCTAATCAGACAGGCTGGGAGTTTCCTTTAAACAAAGTTTCGAACAAGGTGAACTATTCATGGTAAATACTTTGGTTAATTAATTTATTTCTTATTAATTGCTGTGTTTGATTTTGTGTGAAATAAATTAATACATTTTACAGTAAGGCATCTGATTCTTTTATTCCAAAACTGCTTCATTCAGCAACTCATTATTTATTATACTAAGTACACAAAGACACCAAAAAAAGAATTAGGTACAATATGCACTGTAAGTGCAAGAATGGAAATGAATCTTTGCTGCTCCATTGACTGATGAGCTGTATGCTCTCATCAGGGCTCAGATCAGGGCTACACTAGTACCACTAGGTTGTCAGAGGGTGTCAGAGACTTTGTCAGTACTAAATTAGGGGAGAAGAACACAGATGAATAACTGCAGTCTTAATTAGAGATAAACACATTCACCTTATTATTTTACCTGTTTAAGATGAGTTCTAAATTTTCGTATTTGTCTCTTCACTTGGTTTTCAGAAAAATGGCTGATTTCTTGAACAGCTTTTTGCAAAGATAGGTCTTAAAGAGAAATATATTCAAATGTGTAAAGGGGAAGAATGTTTAGCTGAGAGACAATGGACTAATATGACTGAAGTGATACATGGGCTTCCATTTATATTGAGAAAGAAGCAAATGGGGCTGTCATACAGATAGAGGTGAGAAGGTAGTGTATTTACTTTTTATGAGATCAGTGTTTATAAGCAGCACCTGGAGTTGTAGAGATCTTTGAAATCTGAATTTGATAGGAAAGATAGTTTTTTAGCTACAAATTGAAAGTATTGGAAAAATAGCCTGAAAGGTATGGTTACAGACAGTGAAATAGCATACCAAACAGACTCAACCTTCCATCAATCATGTTAAAATAGACTGTAACAAAAAGATTATAAGTATTTCTGTATATATGTAATACATATATGACAATACATTACAAAATAAATGTATATTCTTTAATAAAATTGAATATAAAATATAATACAAATACTTCTTTTACATATATTCTTAAAATTTCAGAACAAATCTTATTTATATTCAGTAGTCCAAATGGAAAGCTAGAACTACCCCTACATCATTGAAAACTATTCAACAATGTTCAAAAAGTGACAATATTTGTGAATATAGTGTGACAAGTGCTGGAAAGGCATCGTATATCAGCCTGTTTTCATCTGTGGTTATATTACCTTCAGTTATAAACTAAGGCAGTTCTTTCTCCATTTGCAGGAAAGTGCTTACCAGGAAGAGGCTGCTATTGTAAAATTTTCATCTGAATTGTTGCTGTTCCTGTTTTAGCATGTGGTCTTTGGATAAAATTTGGATAATCAATCTCTTGCTTGCTTATCCAAACCCAACCTAATGTATTGAGATTTGTCCTTCACCACTGAT